ATATATATATATATATATATATATATATATATATATATATATATATATGAATTATTTTAATTATCCTATACACTTACAATTAAAATGATGCACGTATGCTTAGATCATATTAAATAGGATAATTAAAATATTGTGTGCACCACGGCACGAATGTTGTTTTCCGAGTCTCAGGAAGTCTTCCTTCACCCCGGAAAATAGGATTGAAAAGAGACATAAATTATTTGTTGGGTGCGGATCGTGTTTGTATCGAGAATCCATTTTGGTATTTTAAACGGTACGCACGTTTAGGCTTTTAAAATTCACTAACTGTTATTCAATAAGCAAGGCTGTAGAAATAAACCCCTAAAGCGGATCTAAAAAAGCGGCAGAGCACCTCGGTGTGACCCTACGGGGGCATTAGATTTTATTGAAACAGAATAGTTGATCACGATTTTATTACACATACAAGTAAAGAAAAAACAAAATTAAGGGTCTACTACAAAACACAAAACATTGGACTTCCACCTGACACCGCCATTGCATGTTACTTTAGTACAAGTGATCTATGGTAATTCAATAGTAGGTAATCTATGGTAAATTAAACTTGAAATGTTTTGAATAACATAACCTCAACACTTCCTCTCAAAACATATCGTCACTGATCACTCATTATTCACAAAACTAGTTGCCTTGCAAGGAAGTAATCCCATCATGTTTCTAATTTTCTCAAATCGAACACGCGGAAGTGGCTTCGTTTGTATGTCAGCAATTTGGTTAATTCCATCTACATGGCTCACAGTGATTACACCATCGTTGTATTTTTCACGGATAAAGTGAAATTTGATGTCCACGTGTTTGGAGCGTTTGTGGAACTCTGGATTTTTGGCTAGTTTGATAGCGCTCGCATTGTCAATTTGCAGACACGGAACAGCTTGCAGTTGCGTAATTTCGGAAAGAAGTAGTTTTAACCAGACGATTTCTTTTGCAGCTTCGCTCGCAGCAATGTACTCGGCCTCGGTCGTTGATAAGACCACGCATCTCTGTTTCCGGCTTAACCAGGTGATTGCTCCTCCTGCGTACTTACAGACCATGCCTGTTCTAGAACGTCTAGTTTGTACATCCCCGGCATAGTCGGCATCGCTGTAGGCTTCTAGTTTTCCAACATTATAGTTTGGCTGGTACAGAAGTCCATACTCGAGGGTCCCCTTTAGGTAGCGGAAAATTCTCTTGACAGCCCGCCAATCGGACATTCTTGGTTTTGCCAAAGCTTCGGAAACCACACTAACTGCGTAAGTGATGTCAGGCCTTGTAGCGATTGACAGATACATTAAACTGCCTACCGCCTCACGAAACGGAACTGTTGCATCCAAATCGGGATTAGGTTCGGAATGCTCTGCACTGATATCACAAGGTGTTGCCACAGCGTGTGAGTTTTCCATTCCAAATCGCTCTAAGATACGTTCAGTGTAAGCTCGTTGACCTATAAAGAGAGCGCAATTAGTTAATTGCAAGAATTGCATGCCTAGAAAGCAATTTAAAGCATTCACTGTTAGTTTAAACTCGCTCTTTAAACTTTTTATAAAGCCTTCAATTTCAGTTTTACTGCTACCGGCCACTAAACCATCGTCCACATAGATTGCAACTACAAGTTTTGTTTCACACGTTCTTTTGATGAACACGCAGGGATCAGCCTCACTCTGTTTAAAACACTGTTTATAAATCATAAAGTCAACTAATCGCTTATTCCAACAGCGAGGCGATTGTTTTAGCCCGTATATGCTTTTATGAAGTTTACACACCCGACCACTATCGTCATCGAAGCCCTCGGGTTGCTTCATATATACCTCTTCTGCAAGCCTACCATACAGAAAAGCTGTCTTTACATCAAACTGCACCAAATGTAGTTGTTCCGAGGCAGCCACACTTAATACAGTTCGTACCGTATCGAAGCGCGCCACCGGACTAAATGTTTCATGAAAATCTATCCCATATTTTTGCACGTAGCCTTTTGCCACTAATCGTGCCTTGTAACGTACAGACGATCCATCTGGCCCTTGCTTTAACCTCAAAACCCATCTATTTCCTATAATTTTCTTTCCTTTCGGAGGTTCAACTAGCGTCCATGTACAATTTTCTTCTAAGGATTCTAATTCTTCTTTCATTGCTTGTGCCCACTCATTGGAATCTTTAGACTTCATTGCGGAGGTAAACGACAGATCAGGTAAACCTTCTGCAACAAACACATAGTCGTTAAGATATGCTGGTCGTATAATCTGTCTTCGGGAAAGCGTCTCTGATTTTTCCACAAACTCCCAAAAACAGTAAACCAAGGCCCCAACCTAGTAGTCGAAATAAAAATGTACATCCGCTTTCCCCACTCTTTTTACCTGGCATAATCTTCTTTTTCATCCCAGCGAAACA